CTTGACCCCTCCCATCAGCTGTTGGAGCAGACGTGATCCAAAAAGACCTGCACCATGGCCTCGTTGATGTAGAGCTCTGGGTGGAACTCGGAGTTCTCGCTGGCTGTGCTCATGTCCCAGAAGTCCAGATACAGCACTCGCTCGTGCACGCCCCGGAAAGCCCTCACCGTGAGCTCCCGCATGAGCGGGCCCGCCATGTCGCCCCCCAGCACAGGTGGCCAGCCGGAGTAGGCCGTGTGGGGGCCACGAACCATCACCAGGGCGTCCGGGTTCCTGTCGAGCAGCGACTCCGCCGCCTTCCTCACCGCCAGTAGTCTGCTGTACAGCACGCTGTAGTGGTGGATGGAGTAGTGGAGGAAGAGATGGATGGCCACCACGTACCTCCCTCGATCCGGCACTGAGTCCAGCTGGTCAGTGACCTCAAGGAAGTCCGACCTGGGCGCCCAGTGGTCACTCACCGGGTGGTTGGGGAAGCCGTGAAGCCTCCAGGACATGTGGAAGTTGACGTCTGCGCGGACACACGAGCGAGGCCGGTGCCAGGTGGTGGTGCCCTGCTCGATGACCAGCTCGCAGCCCAGGCGCGACTTGAGGATGACGAACCAGGAGAGAAAGTTGGAGTCTCCCGTGAACACGATGGTGGTGTTGGTCAAACAGGCCGCGTCTGTCGGTGGGTCCGGCCACTGTCGCCGGCAGTCAGAGCGCACCCACTGCTTGTGGAGGAAGTAACCCCGCGGTCTGTCCAGTTGCCAGGTGTCCTGGAAGTGTTTCCCTGGACACGCTTTCTCGGGCCGTATGGGCGTGCCTTTGTCCACGTGAAGGATGACCGTGCTGGGAATCAGACGGAGCAGCGGGGGCTTGCGGAGTTGCTCGGTCAGCGACATGTCCACGTCGCTCAGGGCGAAGGGCCGCGTGAACTCCATGTCCCGCACACTGTGCCAGTCTGCGCATGTCAGACCCAACTTCCGGGGCCGGCCGCAGTACCAGCTGTTGCCGTAAGTGACGTCAGAGAAGTTGCACAGATTCTTGTAGCCTGGGATGAGCGGGAAGGGCGAGCAGAGGGTGGCCTCAGACACGTGACCTTTGAAGAACCCGGCGGCGACATAGCGCAAGCACTTGGACACATGGCGCAAGTAGAAGTAGGCTCGCAGAGTCTCCCGTGGATACGTCACCTCGGCGTTCATCTAGGGAGAAGGAAACAGTCACTGAGTGTACAAAGTTTCCATAGCAACGAAACTATATAACAGCAAACCAGGTATAAGAGATAGGTGACCTCTGCTTTGATCTAGGGAGAAGGAAACAGTCACTGAGTGGAGAATGTATCCATAGCAACGAAATGATACAACAATAAACCAGGTATAAGAGATAGGTGACCTCTGCTTTGATCTAGTGAGAAGGAAACAGTCACTGAGTGGAGAATGTATCCATAGCAACGAAACTATATAACAGCAAACCAGGTATAAGAGATAGGTGACCTCGGCGTTGATCTAGGGAGAAGGAAACAGTCACTGAGTGTACAAAGTTTCCATAGCAACAAAACTATACAACAGTAAACCAGGTGTAAGAGATAGGTGACCTCTGCTTTGATCTAGCCAGAAAGAAACAGTCACAGACTCAAGTGCCTTTAGGCCATTCTCAAAGGGGGGATATTAACATGTTCTTATGCACAGTAGAATTGTAAATGGGCTGATTTATCAATGTCCCCCTGTGCTGGGG